CTGTGTTTTCCTGAAAATAAGACAGGATCTTATTTTCTTTTGATCTCCAAAATAAGCAACTGGCCTTATTTTCGGGGTGGTCTTATTATTTTTGAGGTGTATGAGGCAGCAAGCACGATCACCTCATGGCTGCTGATGTGTTGCTATATTTTCGGAGAGGACTTATTTTCAAGGGAGGGCTTATTTTAGTCCATGTGCTCAAAAGACTGACTGGGCTTATTATCCAGGGAGGTCTTATTTTCAGGAAAACAGGGTAGAATTTTGGCTTAGCACAATATGTGAAGAAAAGCAAACACAATTTAACATTGATGTTTTTTATCTATTTGAAAGAGACTCAGATGCGATAGTGGAATTCACTTGTGAATTACAAATTCAGTGGGATATTTAACATTTCATAAGATGTAAATAAAATTCAAATATAATTCAAGTTGACAGAGAAATGGGCTTCAAATGAGATAAAATGGAAAAATTCTGCTTAGAAAGTATTGTATACATAAGATATGAAGGCCTACCTGGCTTAGCAGTGATTATGTGGCTATTCGTCAGTGTGGAGTATTAGCAACCACATAGTTAGTCCTTCTCTGGGTTCATTTGTCCCCAACTTGACCCTTCTGCCAACTATGTATCTAATACCCTCATTAATCAAATATTTGCATCTGTCCAAAATTGGTAATTTGAGCCTGGTTATTTGTCCCTTGAATGAGAATTCTGAATTGATTTTTTTCCTATACATTTTCTTGGCTATCCATGTTTTTTTCAAGGCTTCTCCAACACCAAGCTCAAAAGCTTCATTCTGCTTTCTATCCTGCTTCTTCAAATTGACAATGAAGTTTATAGAAAAGATATTTGATTCTTATGATGTGTCAAAATCATTTGGCAACACTTTTCCCTGTGACATAGCAGGATTGGGGGGGGGGGGGTAGAAGGCTTGACACTGAATACAGCATTTTGTGCCCCCCAAAACGCCGCTCCTTCACCAAAATGGCCGTGCATAGCTTTTAGAAGGCTTTCAGAGAACTCCTGGGAGCTGGGGAGGGCAGAAATGAGTGAAAATGGCCCATTTTTTGCCCCCCAGCAGTACTCTATAAGCTTTCTAAAGGCTATCCATGCCCTTTCTTGACAAAAACTGGCCCGTTTTCGCAAAAAAAGGCTGTTTCTTGCTCGTTTTTGCCCCACCCTCCAAGGAGCATTCTACAAGCCTCCTAAGGGCTATTCATGCCCTTTTTAGGAAAAAAAAATGGGTCCGTTTTCACAAAAAATGGGTCGTTTGGGGGAAGTTTGCAGAGTGCAAAAACTTTTTTTTAATTTTCCTCTTCAAAACCTTGCTGTGTCTTATTCCTCTTCAAAACCTTGTTGTGTAACTTATACTCTGAAAAATACGGTATTTGTTCCACTTTGTTCTTGAATGTTTATGTTCAGTAGCATACAAGGATTCAGAGAAACTGGAACTGGTTCAGAACAGGCAGCAAGAATGAACAAGGGAAATCAAATTTTATAGAGAGACATAAAGAACCGAGACTGTTTAGAGATGAAAATAACATTGAAATGCAACAGTATTCACCAAATAGTGAAACTGTTACATCACAAGTCACAAGTTTTTGTCACCCCATTAGGAAGTAGGAGGAATGGCAGGAAAAAAAATCTGAAGAATAATAGCCCCATGATGGAATAAGTTAGCCAGGGAGATAGTGATTTTTCATTCATTGGAACTGTACAAATAAACTTCTGTTGTAGTTGTTTTGGTGTATATACCTGCATAGTCCCAGGTCAATCTTGTCTGGGATTGGAAGCAAAATAGGAACTGATTAATATTTGGGTGGGAGACAAGAAGGAAATCCCAGTACTGTAAGCTACCAGACTGAAAAGTCCAAAGGTTTTGAAGAAAGCAGTGACAACTACCATTGCATGGATCTGTCCATGATGTCAACAGGAATCAAGTAATCTGAAAGTGACCATCTGAAGAGCAGGGGATTGGCCTTAATTAACTAATTTTTATTTATTTGATTTCTACACTGTCCCAGTGCTACAACTCATAACTGTATGTAAAAATAAAACATCCATGGACACTGTAATTAAGGAAAATATAATACATGAATAAACAATCAACATAATTGGAGCAATAATGTCTTCCAACTGTAAGCCAGCAATGCACATTTACACTGGCTGAAATTCATGAATAATGGACATGACATAGTTAATACTATCTTAACAATATTTTCTTAAAAGTGTTAAAGTAGAATTTGTTTATCAGATTTGTTTCCCACCAAAACTGGCAATCCACAGCAATTTGAAAGAAAACCCACAACTCAAAATATAAAACCTGTACAGATAACAAGTTAACAAAACAATAGTTGTAGCCAATTCTATATTAGAATAAACAAATTACTATAAGAGCCACAGGTGCTTACACAATACTAGGCATCATCAGCCTTCAAATGAATTTACATGCAATCTGATCTAATGCAATCATATGAATATTTGCTCAGAAATGAATTATATTGGGCTCAAATTGATTTATTTTTGACCAAATACTCTAGTTACATCCTAAAAATGGTAACAATCTAATTTTGCTGGAAAATCAGCAATGAATGTGAACATTACCATAATACTACAGGATGTGTTACATATAACCTACCCAGTAAAAATAAGGGTCTCTATATTTGACAGGCTTATGCCACAATAAATGTTGGTTTTCAAGATTTCAGTGCTGGATATATTGAAAGTGGACAGAAACTGAAACATATACCCCTACTCTAGTTCAGAAAGAGGCTAAAAAGATAGTCATCAGCAGCATTTCTCCTGTTACAAGGCAGTGAAAGGCACAGGGATCTCAGAGTCATTACTGCAATTATTCTACTATAACTTCTAATTCTAAAATAGTTTTGCAGTGGTTTTTTGTTTTTACTTTCACCCAACGACACAGATCTTTCTTCCCTCAGCTTGTTGTTGTATAAGGAGAGGGGGAGAGTAAATTGCTCTTTCCAAAAACCTGAAGTGGGCATTTGCAAAGAGCTTTTTAAATTAGGCAGGGGACCAATAAAGGCTCATTTGAAATGCTGGCTCCCTGGCTACTATTCTTCGACGACAGGAACATACAGTCTCCCCCTTTCCCCCGTCTTTGTTTAACTACGGTAAGCTGCAATTTTTAGTATATTTTCTGTGTTTAGACACAGTAACCCTCTGTATAATTTACTGCACTTTTGTGTCTGGATTTATTTAAGGCACGTAACCTAAAGTAACCGTACCGAATTCACCAACAAAGCCCTCAACTAAAGTATCTAAAAATGTTTCGTCAGCCAACCACGCTCCATCCTGACGTCCTTTTTCTCCATGTAAACCTCCCTGCGTTGGCTTGCTGCAATTGAACTTCTATTGTGTACCCCAGGAGCTTGTCCTGCCAACGCTCCCGCCTCCAAAGCTTCGCTGGACGGTGCCTTCGCGAGCGGGGGGGGGGGAGAGGGAGGGGGAGAGGGAGAGGGAGAGAGAGAGAATATGAGTGACTCGGTATGCGCATGCGCCCCGCAGGCCTTAGCCGCTCACGTCTCCGCCAAGAGGAGTCCCGCCCCTCAACCTCGTCCCACGTAGGGTCACGAGCGAGTGCTGAAAAGGCACTTGAACAAGAGCTGTTGTGTTGACTTCTTCGGAGCTTTGCATGGGGCGCGCGGAGGGATCGGCAGGGCGCGCGCCGAGCATCGCTTAAGCCTCGCGAGTCGCGGTCGTTCTCGTGATGAGGCGCGGGGAGCGGAGGGCTCACGGAGGCGCCTCCGGCAAAGCGGCGCTGGAGGAAGGGCAACCGCTGCCGCCGCCACCTCCGCCTCCCAACGGCGCTTCTCTGCAGGTTGGAGAGGGGCCTCGCGGGGACTCGCCGTCAGTGTCAGCAGCTGCATCGGCAGCAGCGCCAGACGCCGCTGTCGTCACTCATGGCGACCGGCGCAGCACTGAGTCCGAGGTGTACGACGACGGGACCAACACCTTCTTCTGGTGAGAGGGGCGACCGCGCTGCCCGGGCTCCCCTTCTGTCTGCCTGCTGGGTCACTCTGCAGGCAGAACGAGCGCTTAGGTGCATCTGGACCCCATAAGGGCGCCCAGAGGGTGGCTGAATCTGGAGGGGAAGGGTTGCTGGGCGCTGATGCTGAAGGTGACAGCAGCAGCAGAGGCGAGGGTTGGGTAGGGATTCAGAGCTAGCACTCGCTTCTAATTAGATCTAGGCTGATTTTTGATAACTGGGTGTATGTGCGTGTCCTCTGAAAGAGATGGTACAGCACGTTCTTAGTTTCAGGACAGACCTTTCCGAATTGCTCCTCCCCTGCTCCCTGTGCTGACTTGGCTTGGTGGCTATTGCTGTCTCGGATGCGATTTTTCATCACTTGCTATCACAGATGTAAACAAGCTTACAGTTACTAACTAGGCAAGGGTCATCATTCTTTCGGAGATATTTCCTTACCAGATTCTCCAATGCCTTCTTGAATGGCAGAGCTTCTAATCTAAGGTATTGGAAAAGTTCTTAAACATTCAGGGAGCTATTCAGAGATGTATCTGCTTTGAAAGTAGCCCATATATATAGTCAAGCATCTGAAGTTGACCACGGGAAATATTTTATGACACTTGGTATTATGCCATAAATGCTTTATGATAATTTTTATGTCATAAAATGTTTTATCAAGTTTGCCAAAGTTCAATTCCAGAGGATTCCCAGGGTCCAGATTTTGGATACATTCTGGAAGTTAGCACATTTGAGGTACACTGGTTGAAAAAAATGATGTACATGTTTACCCAGTTCAAGGTTATGGATCCAAAGGGTATATAGTATGCATATCCTGTTATTGAACTCTACTGAAGACCAAGTCAACAGTTTACTCGGGAAAACTGTTAAGATTGCTTTATAGACTATTTTCACAATTTTCCCTCCTCTCTTTATCTTGTGCCTTGTCCCTGAATCTGTTAAGAATATCATTAGAAATCAGTGGAGATAGTGGTCAACATCAGTAACTGAGTTTAAACACGCTAGGGATAAACACATGTCCATCGTCTGACAAAAGTAGAAAATAAAATAATATAATAAAACTTAATAAAAACAATGAATAAAGAAAAAAGAGAACAAAAAACAAACTCAAAAGACAGACTTGGTGGACCACTAGGTCTTTTTCTGTGGTCATTTTTCTGTTTTTGTTCAGTTAGAAATGGATATTGCAACACATAATAAAAGCTTAGGGAAATAAGCCAATTTAATCTGCATCAATAAGGGGGCACTTGGACTGCATTCCTTAACTATGCTTAAATGAATACATTTCTTTTTTCAGAATACTGGTAGTCCTTGACTTACAAACAGTCACTTTATGTCTATTCAAAATTACGATGGAAACCCATATGGTACTGGTTCTAAAGTTCCGATATCTGCCCTCCAATCTGTAGTCATGTGGCTGCATTTCAGGCACTCGGTAACTAGCCCAAATTTATGGCTGTTTGCAGGATCCTGCAGTTATGTGACCATAGTTTACAACATTTTTGCCAAAAATTGGCACTTACTACTTCTAGTTTTCGCCAAAAACACCCCGTAGTGAACAATGAGTTGACTTGACTGTGGTGATTTGCTTACTGACCACCACAAAAAGGTCATAAAATCAGATTGGTAATGTGGGTGACCTGCTTTACGACTGTCACAACTTATGACCATACTGGGCAAGCTCCATTATGGTCATAAATTAAGGGCTACCTATATTTTCCTGGATTGTTAGAGAAAAGGAAATATCTATTTATATTCTTTGTCCTTTTTTAATAGTTTCTGTTAGTTCTGCACATTCTTTCATATTATTTTGGCACTTACCCAGTTTGTACAGATTTTCTACATTGTCTATTTTTAGAAAGCAATGGGAGAAGATTGTAAAATCATTTTGTACTTTAGCAGCATTAGGAAGTGGAATGCTTATTGCTGATAGAGCATGCAAAGAAATGGAACTGTACCAAAAGAAAAGATTGACAAAGGAACTTTATTATTTTAAAATAATCCCTGAAGAAAGTGCATAAGAACACTACATGAGATAATAACAGCTGAGTGAGCCATAGTAAATTTCTGCCATTTTTCTTTACAGCTTCTCCTCTAGTTGATGTTTTAAAATCATTGTTTCCCAAAAGAAAAATGACATTAGTGACATCTCCATTGGTTAAAAATAGTGTTTAAAACTGCACTTGTAGAACCTTAAATAAAAAGCAAGCTTGAATTTTACAGTAAACAATAATTTATGTCAATCATAAATCTGGGCATTAGCTATATGGACTGCCTCCAGAATATTCTTCCTCTAATTAGAAGGGCAGAAACGTGTGGTTTGTGCTGTCGTGCTGTATTTCCCACCTGTCTTTACCTATCTGTGCCATTGACAGAGAAGAAAACATAGTTGCAGATTTTAAAAAAATGTTTGCTGTTGCAGGGGCACAGTTCTCTGGCTCTTGCCGGGGGGGAACCTTGGCAAAGAGGAAAAAAACGTGAACTAGCTTTGTATGATTTGAACTTTGTGATCTTGGCAGCAAGAGGGATACATTGATCCCAGCAACAAATTTGGAGCGCAGTTAGCAGCTTCCTAGAAGTTGTTGCATTCCAACAACTGAGAATGCACTGCCCCAGTACTCAATGCTCTGCAATTTAGGGAACACCATATTTCATCATAGATCCAGGAAGCATTTTAGAGAGTACATTAGGGACAAACTGTGGTACAAAAATAGTGATATAGTAACTGGATCTTACTGATATTTTGAGTTATGCCATGTTTTACATGGCGTGTGGGTGAAATTGCCAGTTCTTCCAATAGTACTCTGTTTATAAACTTCTGCTAAGGGTGTTGGGTTTTTTTTCGTAACACTTCATAATATTGTAATTATTCATCTTGTGTTACATTCCCCCCCCCTACATAGGTTATGGTAACTACTATTTCAAAAAAGTTTCCATTTGTGTGTCTCATTTTTGATTATTCTTAGTTATTCTTTTATTTGGCTAAACATTTAAAAATAAAAATATTTAACTGTTTAACTGTTTATTAAATTTATAGGCCGCCCAATCCCGAAGGACTCCGGGCAGCTTACAGAAACAGAAATTAAGAGAAATTAAAAACAGATAAAACACGACAAATTTTAAAAGGCACAACATGCACCCAATCTAAGCGGGGCTGGACCGCAATCCAGAGGTCAACAGCCCCAGGCCTGCTGGAATAGAAAAAAATAAAATAAAAAATGGATGTTAGTTAAGAGTTATGGTCATTATGGAAAAAGCAAGTACAGTAGTAAAGATCTAATTTACTTCATGCTTTATTAGCTGGAATACTTTAATGGAATAATTTATTGATTGTAATTAAAATATCTTTTAAGCATTGCCATAAACTAGCAAAAGCTTCCTTAATTTTTTTGTTAATTTTTATAGCTGATGCAATTAATTCTATTTACCATCAAATCACTACAGATGCTTAGCAGTTTATAAAACAGAAGCAATCATTTCAGTTAAAGCATGTATGATAGATATAAATAAAACAACCAATAACTAAGTCACAACAATACAATGGTGTGGTGGAATCTGGAGCTGAAATCCTCCCTAAACTTGCAGTGCTTATCTAGTAGTTCCTGTGGTAAGTATATTAGTCTGGTGAGACTCCTGTCAATAGGCGAGTAGCAATAAACGTACCATTCTGATCAACTCCTTGCATCATTTCTAGTCCCTTGCACCTGACTAAGGGTAACAATAATAAAATAAAAAATAAAACAAATCATAGGAAAACCAAATTAAGTAATATCAAAAATTAAATTAATGTAATTAAATGTGATAACCAACTATTCAATCAAATGCTTTTAAGAAAAAAAAAATCTTCATTAGCTTCCAGAACCTTATAAGAGATGGAATAAGATTTAATTCTAAGGAAATTGTATCCCACAAGATCTGAGTAGTAACTAAGAAGCAATTTCTCCTGGCCTTCATTCCCCTTATAGCAGAGATCCCCAACCCCCAGGACATGGACTGGTACAAGTCTATGGCCTGTTAGGGGCCAGGCCACACAGCTGGAGGAGAGTGGTGGCCGAGTGAGCAAATTAACCCCCCCCCCCCCGTGTCTGTGGAAATATTGTCTCCCACAAAACCGTTCCTTGGTACCAAAACAGTTGGGAGTGGCTGCCAGTACTTAACAAAAGTGATGTATGATCAAAAGCTTCTCCTGGGAAGAATGTAATAGATGGGCTTACTCAGATTGGAGAAATTAGTCCTGTAAGAAGATAGGCACCAAGGTAATTTATAATACTGATTACCGGTATATAATTACAGATGTAAAGCATGACTTTCAGAAAATATGTACCATATTTTTTGCAGTATAAGACGCACCTTCCCCCCTAAAAGAGGGTGAAAATTTGGGTGAGTCTTATACACCAAATGTAGCCCCGCCCACTACAGGCCCCCACCCTTTGGCCTCTGCCTCCCAGCAATTTACCGCCTTGCAGCAAACGGTAAAATGGGGCTTGCGGAGCCGGAAATAGGCTATGGCAATCCCTGCAGCCTGAAACAGCTGATCATCTGCCCCTGCTGAAATTGAAAGTGAAACTGGCTGTTTGCAGAAAGGGGCAAATTGCTGGGAGGCAGAGGCAGATTTTTTTTCTTCTGATTAGGCTAAACTGAAACAGGCTGTTTGCTGCAAGAAGGTAATCTTTTTATCATTCCTCTGAAGTTAGAGAAGTCATCTCTCAATATAGACACATTTCACCACGTTTGGTTGGATATTTTGAAAAAAAAGATCAAAAGATGAAAATGAAATCTAAAAAATACATAAGTCTTATTGCTCTTGAAAAAAAAACTGCACCTCTGAAGACTTTGAGAGCATTCTGATTCTGTTTGATTCCTAGAAAACAGTTAGTGACAATCCCTATCTTTTTTATCAGCTTGTCAGATTCTGAATACATTTTGGTTCTGAAGGATTTTATTGAAAGTTTGCCCCCTCCCCCCCCATTTTTATCTCAATGATCAGCTGCTGTTTTATTGACTGCATTTGAAGATTTCTTTAAACTTCAGCTTATATAAAATATACAACTCAAAGGCACAAAGTGAGCAAGTGAAAATGTATTTTTGATGCAGTTGTTGGTATTTCTCTTGTGAGCCCAGTTTAAGGTGATGTTATTCTTTTCCTTGCTTGAGATTATCACGCCATACATTTTCCTGCTACAGCTGTTGTTCAGGCTTAATTAGTCTCATTAAGTGAGTTGACATAGCCAACAACTCTATAACAACAACTTTTTCAGTACTTGAAAGCTCTGCACAGTTCTTCCCATGGAAACTAGCATTTTCTTCTTTCAAAAAAGATGTAAATTTCTCTTTCTATAGATACCGAGTCGTGACTCCTCTGGACTTGTATATGTAACTAGTGAATTTGTATTACTTTGCTTTTTAAATGCTATATTAATGCATTTTAAATTACTGGTGTGTATATACTTTGCCTTTTAAATGTTGTATATTTTATATTAGAGCTGTGTGCTAAACACATTTGCACACTTAAAGCTTTAATTTCTGCTGGTGAAAATAATAAGCCAACTATAAACAGTGACAAAAGAAGATGATTTTTTTTTTCTCTTGTCAACAGGCAAGCTCACACCTTAACAGTCTTGTTTATCCTTACTTGCACCCTGGGCTATGTGACCTTGCTTGAAGAAACGCCACAGGACACAACCTATAACACAAAGAGGTAAATAACTTTTACAGAATACTGCAGCAAATGAAATGTTGCTCACTTATTAACTACTGTAGTTTGTTGGAATGCCAATTTTTCAATTGCAGTTCTTTTATACAGATAGTTTTTGACTTACAACCATTCATTTAACGATTATTTGAAGTTAACAATGGGACTAAAATAAGTGACATATGTCAAGTCTTTCACTTACGACCATCATAGCATCTGCACGGTCATGTGATCAAATATTGGGCTCTTTATGATGCTTGCAGTGTCTCAGGGTCATCTGGTCGCCATTTGCAACCTTCCCAGCCAGCTTCCAACAAGTAAAGAGAATGAGTGAAGCCATTTTCACTTAACAGCCTTGTGATTTACTTAACAAATGCAGTGATTCACTGACCAACCATGGCAAAAAGGTGTAAAATTAGGAGCAACTTTCTTCACACTGCCGTGCTTAGTGATGGAGAGTCTGGTCCGAATTGTGGTCATAAATTGTATTTGGGATTTGTTTTCTGCAACAGTCTGTTGCACGTTTAGTAGTTATTTCCTAGTCTTATTTGAAAACTAATGTATAGTATATGATAAAAATATAATCTAAATGTAGCATATTGATTAATCCTGCTTTTTAAGAGGTTTCTGTTTATTAAATCACAGGGTAATTTGAATAACTCCATAAATCATTCCAAGTTGAAAATATTTTCTTAATATTTCTCTATCTGATGAAGGTTTCATTAAACTTACAAAAATTGGTATCTAAGTAGCAGAGATGTATTCGGTTACCTCATGAATCAGATAGCATCTTTTAATATGTCCTAGAGCAAATGTTTTGTTAAATTAGATTTGAAAATTAATGTATTGATACAAAATCAGGATTCATTCTACATGTAGTCTTATGAGCAGTTATATAGCAACTGTTCAAAGTTACAGCAGAATTGAAAAAAAGTTACTTAAGACCTGTCCTCAAAATTATAACTGCTCCGCAGTCTTATGATCACATTTCAGAAGATTAGCAACTACATACACATTTACTGTATATACTCAAGTATAAGCCTAGTTTTTCAGCCCACTTTTTGGGCTGAAAAAAG